TGTCCATCCCTCTGTCTGTGCCATCAGCCCATAGCAATTTGCTGTGCACCTACCATGTGCTGAGCAGCTGCAGTCCAAGCCCCTAGCAGTACAGAAGTGCAGGGTCCAGGCCCCTGACTCAGTTTACAGAGAAGCAGGGGAATGGTCAAGTAAATAGACAGTTACACTGCAGTGCAGTGAGAGCAGTGATGGTGCCAGGGATGCAGGCAAGGACAGATGGGATAAGAAGCCAGGGAGGGCTTCCTGGGAAGGCAGCAGGACCTTACTGAAGGCTAGGTGTTAAGTAGTGAAGGGAGGAACAGCAGGCAGGAAGAGTACTGTGTTTCCCTGAAAATAAGACCTACCCAAAAAATAAGCCCTAGCAGGATTTCTATGCATTTGTTAAATATAAGCTCTATCCCGATAATAAGACCTAGTGATGGGCGTGGCTATGCAGATACACTATGCTATGCATTTCGGGGCGGAGAGGAAGACATCCCCCGAAAATAAGCCCTAATGTGTCTTCTTGAAAAAAAATAAATATAAGACAGTGTCTTATTTTCAGGGAAACATGGTAGTACAGGCAGAGGAGTGGAGCCCAAGGCGATGAGAGCACGGTAGGGTTGGGGAATAAAAAATAAGCATCATATACTGGGGGGCAAGCTGGATTCCGTGCGCTTCACACAGCTCAGCTCCTCACAGACCCTGCATGAGCTCGTGCTGCAGGTGAGGAGGAAACGAGCCCAGAGAACCTGAGCAAAGTGCCCAAAGCCTCCAGCTACAGAGCTAGGATTGAAGTGCAGGCAGGCGGTACCCTCTGCCGGTGCACCTCCTGCTGAACTGCTCCAGGGTGGGTGGGCTAAGGAAGCTGCACAGGTGGGGTGGTGACACCACCAAGGACCTTGACTGCCACAGCAGGAGCACTGAGAAGGGAGGAGGAGCCATTGTGGGCTCAAAACAGGGACAAGTCCAGACTTGACTGTGTGGCTGTATTTCCCTTCAGAGGAGCAGTTCCAGCCAATAGTAGACTCACTGTTTTTGTTGTTGTTGTGTTTTGTTTTTGAGACAGTCCCACTCTGTCACCCTGGGTAAAGTGCTGTGCCATCGTAGCTCACAGCAACCTCGAACTCTTGGGCTCAAGCCATCCTCTTGCCTCAACCTCCCAAGTAGCTGGGACTACAGATGCCTACCACAATGCCTGGCTGTTATTTTTTCTACTTTTAGTGGAGACAGCGTCTTTGTCTTGCTCAGGCTGGCCTCAAACTCCTGACCTCAAGCTATCCACCTGCCTCAGCCTCCCAGAGTGCTAGGATTATAGGTGTGAGCCTAGACTTACTGTTAATACATACTTTCAACATGACCTTGAAGGTGGAGTTCATCTGATGCACTTCAGCCTTGATGCTCTGCCTGTGGCAGGTGCCACGTAAATGTTTGTAAACCACACAGAAGGGACACAAGAGGAGGAAGGTGGGCGCTGACACTTGCTGGTGGTGTGACTGTAGCTTCCAGCTCCTTAATTAGAAAATTTGGATCCCAGGCCTGAGTGGGTGGCTGTTAGAACTAAATAAGACAATCCAGGGTACCCCAGGCCCTCAGTGCAGCAGGAGTTGGCTTGGATGTACAGAGATTGTGGTGGCAGGTACCCTGCCCATGCACAGGGAGCCCACAGCCCTCGTCAATCCTGCATCTACGTCTTTCTCACTACCTTGTAGGACATGCAGATCTGGGTGACGTTTATTTCAAGTATGTCTCAGGGAAGGGGCTTGTCCAGCCCATGACTTTGGTTTGGTTCCTAGGGTTACTGAGCACCTACTGTGTGCCAGGCATAAGGCTGAGACACTGAACATACTGCAACTCCTGAAGCCATCACAGCCCTCTCAATTTCCCATATTCAGGAATGGTTTTGCCCAGATTTACAGTTGATCAAATTGGGACTCCGAGTGGTTAAGTGACTTGCACACAGTCTTTATGTAGCACAGCCAGAATTCAAACTAATATCTGTCAGATATCAAGAACCGTTCTGGGCTCGGCGCCTATAGCTCAACCGGCTAAGGTGCCAGCCACGTACACCTAAGGTGGCGGGTTC